CTTTATGCTTTTAGACATTGGTCACTGAGCACAGTATACTATTATGACTAAGTAGGCACTGTGTATGCCATTGTACTCTGGACTTGTCATGGTTTAGTGTAATTGTTCAGAATTCTGCTTGTGAACTTAGGGCCCTGAGCACAGGCAACCTTTATGACTCAGTAGGTACTGTAGGTACCTTTGTCCCCTGACCCTGTCATGGTTTAGTGAAAATGGTCCAGAACTCTGCTTTTGGACATAGGACCCTGAGCACAACTCACTATTGTGAATTATTAGGTACTGTATATGCTGTTGTACCCTGGACTTGGAATGGTTTAGTGGAAATGGTTCTACATTGTGCTTCTGAACATAGGACCCTGAGCACAGTTCACCAGCCAGTCTCAGTCTGCAGTTCCCAGTTTTGATCACACTCTTGGCTTTAGAAGAATAAGGGACTTGCAGGAGCCATGAACTCTCTACCTTCAAAACATGGGGAAATGTGAATGCATTGCAGAGATGTACTGCATATGGTTTTTTTTTTTTATTTTGCCTCAAAATATGCTTTAGCTCTGCCAGTCACTCCTGCTTTGGGGCTGAGGGTAGGTCTGCCCACCAAATCCCAGATAGAAGTGAAGCCCCGCTGCATTCCATTCACAATGGCTTTAATAGTGACTGCTGTTACAAAGGAACTGACAACTGAATTTGTTGTCAGTTTTAGAAAGTCATGGCTGGCAGCAGAACTTAATGCAAAAATAATTTTGAATGACATTGGCTTGTCTAACAATGATTTATATCCATATTTTAGCAAAAGAAGAATTTTCCTTCCACAATGCATAACCCCAGTTCACTTACTTTTTCAGGATAGAAGGACCATTTGTTTCCCATTGGAAGGAAGCAGCACTAAATCCAACTGCATGATCTGTATTTTTTAAAGATAGAAACAACACTTTAATAAAATGACAAAAATAGACATACAAAAATTCTCACTTTACATAAATCAATAGGATGCATTATTAGTAGGGATGCACCGATATATCGGCCGCCGAAACATATTGGCCGAAAATGGCAATTTTGGCAAAATGTCGAAAGTGCCATTTTCTGACTGATACCGTGGTGCATCCATTCTTTCTCTCCTCCCCGCTGCTCTGTGTCCCAGCGGGGGGAGGAGAGAAACTGTCACAGGCGGCCGAGCGCTGCGAGAGGAGAGCGTTGTGAGGGGCCGGCGTCTCTCCTCCCACACCGCTCAGCCTCCTGTTACAGATCAGGGGAGAGCAGTGTGGGCGGAGAAAGCCAGCGCTGTCACAGGAGGATGAGCTCCGCTCGCTCAGCCTCCTGTGACAGCGTGTCAGGAAGGGGAGCGGGTACAAGCAGTCAGTGATCAGTGATCGCTGAGTGTTTGTAAATAATTGAGGATATGGTATGTTTACTATATCCTCAGTTATGAATGAACTGAGGATTTAGGATGATCCATGATTGTGGTTATAGTAAACACACTCTGTCCTCATGTTATGAATGAACATGAACACTCAGTATAGATGATTCCTGTTCATTTATAACAGGGGATACAGAAAAAGAAATAGAGGACTCTGTGTTCTCAATCTCTTTTTCTATTTTAAAAGGGAAATATCAGGGGTATGCTTAGACCCCTAATATTTCCCCGAAGCCCCTAAACGTAAAGTAAAAAATAAAAAATATTTAATAAAAAAGAATAAAAATAGAATATAAAAAAATAAAAAATATTTACATTTTTTTTTCATTTCAGTTTCGTCTCGGTTTTGAAATTTTTATTTGGGTGCACCTCGAATTATTAGTATTTGTTAACGATTCCTGTTCCCCCGCTCCAAGCCTTGGCAGCTTAGATGGTCTCTGGCTACCATTCATTACTACAGAGAGTCCATTAATTTAATCACCATGAGGGCTACCCCAATGTACATAGGCTATTGCCAACTATACACACAAACTGGGAGTTTTTAATGCATTAGAGCCAAACTCCGATGAAGCGGGGAAAAAAACTGTTGGAATACACAGTGGAAACTTGTATATGTCTCACAGCTTGGCAATTCATTTGGCACATGCACCCTTTTAGCAGTCAACACAACCAAGTCCTTGAGCCTCAATTTTTACTGTCATAACTATTACTGAAAATACATTTGTTGTGCAGAGCTGCCCTGGGTGTCAAATACCCAAACTATGCCATATTCCTCATTTATGTAACTAATCTTATATCTCAACTTTCTGCTTACGATACCTTACTCTGGGCTGTAAATACAGGCAGTCCCCGAGTTACAAACATCCGACTTGCATACGTCCCCTACTTACAAACGGAGTCTATTACTGTACAGCAGCGGGTCCAGGCTGCAGCCAAAGTGTACAGCGCAGGATTTCAGTAGTTGTAATGCTACCGCGCTCGTGCCCGGGGCCGGATTTACTCTCCCTGCCGCCCCAAGGCCAGGTTCCGTGATGCGCCCCCCCCCTTTCCCATCAATGGAGAATGGCAACCAGATGGCAGGG